AAAGAGTATAAGTGGATTTTAGTAGGGTTTATACTATTAAATAGAACCCCTGATTTCCAGCTTCAGCTTTAGTAAACTAAATAAGCTTAAAGTCATAAAAAAAGCACACCTTTCGCCCTTTTATCATAAGATCTTTTTGCATTTTTTCAGGGTCTGGAAACTTATCAGCGTCCCACGTATAATATTTTTTTTCCATCAGTATGCTCAATATCTAGCCATAATACATCATAGGGAATATCATGTCTGTCAAATCCTTCGTCAACTTCAGAAACATCTTTCTGATCGAGATAATTCCAACGACATTGATGATAGCCAATCGGAAAATATTGAGGTAGTGCCATGAATCCAGTAAGCAAACCATATTGACAGAAAATTTCAGAAGTCTTGCCAAGAAAAGCGAATTATGCCAGACTCGGAAACCCAATGAGTTTTAGTCGAGTTACCAAAATTAGGAAAGTTTAATGAATCATACTAACAAATAAAAAAAAGAAAAGAAAAATATTAAAACTATTTCCAGAACTTCAATTCTCCATATAACAGTTAAAATGATGTCTAAACCTTGTTCTCTTTACTTTTAATCACATCAATCCATGTTTCTGACGCATTTAACCATAAAACAGCCGCTGATGCACCTTTTCTATGTGCTATCATAAATGGAATAGATCCATAAAGTGACATCGGGCTATCTATTTCATATTTACACACATCCAGATTATATAAGTGATAAGGATCAGAGTAGGCACCATTATCCCCTCAATATAAGATTATAAATAATGAGTTTTTTTTTCTTTAAAACAAAAGGAAAAATATTAATGATCACTTAAGTGTTATATACCGTGTCTCTTTTAATGAAAGTGATGATGCATGTTCAGGAATACCATATACATGACCGAATCCTGGAAATGTGATATCAAGTCCGATAGATTCTGGATCTGTTTTATGCAAATCAAGACAAAATCAGTTACGATGAATATGATCAGTATTGGTAAATGATTCAATTCATATAATTTTTTTTTTAAATATGAATTTTATCATATTCTTGTTGTAAGTCTTTTTTTTAGTCTTTGATTACGTAGCGGTAAAAAAAATTAAAATTATTAAGGGGTAGTTCGCCTCTGAAGGATATAAAACTCGTAGTAAAAAATAGTTTGAATACATTTATAATGATTGAACTTAATTAAATTGCAATGAAATTTTTTTTTTTACGAATCTCCTTTGGGATTCTAACAAAAGTTGTAGAGACAGTTATTCTGGTTCTAACGTTAATGTCGGCCCAACAAAAACCAACATTATAAGAAAGTAACAATGCACTACTTTTTACTATTATTATCCTTCAGTTATGATTTACCCTTAAGAAAAGTTTATGACCTAAGACTAGCAATAAGTCAGTATTTGACAACATACCATTCAACCCTTTTTCTCTTAAATGTTCGAAATTGAAAAAGCCACGATCATTCAATATGATAGTGGGTATATTATCAATCAAAATTTCTACTCGAAACGGTGAATGATAAATTAAAATCGAATGATTTTTTTCTTTACCAAAAGAAAAAGATGTTGCTTCTGGCTTAGAATGGATTTGATTATATTCCAAAGTAATTGATGAATCTTTAACAAGAGCCCAATCTTTTACTTTATCATAACGAGGTTTTAAAGGATTTTTTTCATTAATTCTAATTCTTACAGCACCAATTTCCAGTATATGTAATTCGAAAATAAATTCTAAATTATTTTCAGAGTTAATAAGACAACCCGAAATTATACCATCTTTAATTACGATAGAATCTTTAATCACTGAATAGGGAGA